GTGTCAACCAAGTCAGCGAGCCTGACCACCCGATCCCGTTTGTCGCCGCTTTCCCAAACATCATCACCATTGCCTCTCCATTGGATATATCGTGAACGTATGATGCGTTCGAAAGTAGCAGCTGATTACACAGATACAAAGAGTAAGTAAGTTTAGTTTACGCCTCTTTCAACAATATTACAGCAATATCACGGCGGGGGACACCTAAAATAAGCCTCGCACATTGTACTCATGTGGGGCATCGAACCCGGGTCGAGCGTGACGAGCGAATGCTTTAACCACTGGGCTACCCCACCGCTCCTCGAAATACAAAGAGGTAAGGAAAGGGAGGTCTAGGTGTACTCTGAGGGTGCAAAGACCAAGAGACATGGCAGAGATGTGCTGACAAAATAAAGACGTTATAGGCGACTTGAATCTATCATGGTAAATCATTCGTGTTTACAGCGTGGTATGGCCCGAATCAAACTCTCCATGACAATCTGATGGAGCGGTCTCCACTCCTATTGCAGCGCCGGGTCGAGTTCGGCTGACAAAGTTGTACTTAGACGTCGTGTACACGTCTTCCAGTCATGTGACGTCACGTGAAGCCTGTGGATCATGCAGTAGACGATTGGTCAGTTAGCTGTCTGGTCAATAACTGAAACAGCCCGCGGTGTCCACTTCTGTTGCAGCGACTGGTCCAGTTCGGCTGACGTAGTTGTTTACTTTTGACGTCTGCGTCCACGTCTTCCAGTCATGTGACGTCACGTGACTCACGTGAAGCCAATGGAGCTACCTCTTGCGGAGTTCTGTTTTGAAGTTTTCAGTTTTGAAACATGCCAACAGCCATAGACATTTGTAGAGACCACAGGCGTTCATCGCGTTGTTAGGCGAAGTATCTCAGTTCTGATAACAAATGAAGCATTAAAGCAAGAGAGCTTTAGTGTTACTGTGGATAATGGCGGCTATTGATCGTTCTTCTGACGATCGATCATTGCATTTACATTTCATTATTCCCTACTTTGGAGAGCATAGTTATCGAAATTGTGGTCTATGATATATATCGTCAAAGATGTCGTTGGGTATATTGCTAAATCATTATTACTTCCAGGCGAGTAATCTTATCAATAATAGCAAACATATTTATTTGTATGCCTCTGAAACAGTTTGCAAACCCATTGTATAACAGTGCAAACATGAAAAACTCATCAATCCTTCCCACTTGTCTTTCTACAGTGTATGCATTTGAGAGTTTTCTTTCATTCTCGAGGCGATAAAACTGTAACCATGGTCCACAATATCTGAAATCTTTTAGGATATTTGGATTCTCATGGACAGGGGTGAGTAATGGAAAGGCTACATTTAAACGCACTGAGTACAACATGACGCTATTCGTCCTCAAATGTCCTCAAATTATCGTCAGTATACAGTAAGCAGTGTATCGTCAGTATAGAGTAATCAGGGTATCGTCAGTATAGAGTAACCAGTGTATCGTCAGTATGAAGTAATCAGTGTATTGTAAGTCTAGAGTAATCAGTGTATCGTCAGTATAGAGTAATCAGGGTATCGTCAGTATAGAGTAACCAGTGTATCGTCAGTATAGAGTAACCAGTGTATCGGCAGTATAGAGTAATCAGTGTATCGTCAGTATAGAGTAATCAGGGTATCGTCAGTATAGAGAAACCAGTGTATCGTCAGTATAGAGTAACCAGTGTATCGTCAGAATAGAGTATTCAGGGTATCGTCAGTATAGAGTTACCAGTGTATCGTCAGTATAAAGTAATCAGTGTATCGTCAGTAGAAAGTAACCATTGTATCGTCAGTATAAAGTAATAAGTATATCGTCAGTATAGAGTAACCAGTGTATCGTCAGAATAAAGTAACACGTGTATTGTAAGTATAGAGTAATCAGTGTATCGTCAGTACAGAGTAATCAGTGTATTGTCAGCAAACAGTAACCCGTGTATTGTACCGTCAGTCTAAAGTAATCGGTGCATCGTCAGTATAGAGTAACCAGTGTATTGTCAGTAAAGAGTAATCAGTGTATTGTCAGTCTAAAGTAATCGATGCATCGTCAGTATAGAGTACTCAGTGTATCGTCAGTATAGAGTAATCAGTGTATTGTCAGTATAGAGTAATCAGTGTATCGTCCGTATAAAGTATTCAGTGTATCGTCAGTATAAAGCAACCAGTGTATCGTCAGTATAAAGTAATCAGTGCATCGTCAGTATAGAGTAATCAGTATGTCGTCAGTATAGAGTAATAAGTGTATTGTAAGTATAGAGTAATCAGTGTATCGTCGGTATAGAGCAATCAGTGTGTCGTCATTATAAAGTAATCAGTGTATCGTCGGTATAGAGCAATCAGTGTGTCGTCATTATAAAGTAATAAGTGTATTGTAAGTATAGAGTAATCAGTGTATCGTCAGTAGAGAGTAACCAGTGTATCGTCAGTATAGAGTAACCATTGTATCGTCAGTATAGAGTAATCAGTGTATCGTCAGTATAGAGTAACCAGTGTATCGTCAGTATAGAGTAATCAGTGTATTGTCAGTAAAGAGTAATCAGGGTATCGTCAGTATAGAGTAACCAGTGTATTGTCAGTATAGAGCAATCAGTGTATCGTCAGTATAGAGTAACCAGTGTATCGTCAGTATAGAGCAATCAGTGTATCGTCAGTATAAAGTAATCAGTGTATCGTCAGTAGAAAGTAATCAGTTTATCGTCAGTAGAAAGTAATCAGTGTATCGTCAGTATAGAGTAACCAGTGTATTGCAGTAAAGAGTAATCAGTGTATCGTCAGTAAAGAGTAATCAGTGTATCGTCAGTAGAAAGTAATCAGTGTATCGTCAGTATAGAGTAACCAGTGTATTGTCAGTATAAAGTAATCAGTGTATCGTCAGTAGAAAGTAATCAGTGCATCGTCAGTATAGAGTAACCAGTGTATTGTCAGTATAAAGTAATCAGTGTATCGTCAGTAGAAAGTAATCAGTGCATCGTCAGTATAGAGTATCCAGTGTATTGTCAGTATAGAGTAATCAGTGCATCGTCAGTATAGAGTAACCAGTGTATTGTCAGTATAAAGTAATCAGTGTATCGTCAGTGGAAAGTAATCAGTGTATCGTCAGTCTAAAGTAATCAGTGCATCGTCAGTATAGAGTAACCAGTGTATTGTCAGTAAAGAGTAATCAGTGTATCGTCAGTCTAAAGTAATCAGTGCATCGTCAGTATAGAGTAACCAGTGTATCGTCAGTAAAGAGTAATCAGTGTATCGTCAGTATAGAGTAATCAGTGTATCGTCAGTCTAAAGTAATCAGTGCATCGTCAGTATAGAGTAACCAGTGTATTGTCAGTAAAGAGTAATCAGTGTATCGTTAGTCTGAAGTAATCAGTGCATCGTCAGTATAGAGTAACCAGTGTATCGTCAGTAAAGAGTAATCAGTGTATCGTCAGTCTAAAGTAATCAGTGCATCGTCAGTATAGAGTACTCAGTGTATCGTCAGTATAGAGTAATCAGTGTATTGTCAGTATAGAGTAATCAGTGTATCGTCCGTATAAAGTATTCAGTGTATCGTCAGTATAAAGTAACCAGTGTATCGTCGTATAAAGTAATCAGTGTATCGTCAGTATAGAGTATTCAGTGTATCGTCAGTATAGAGTAGGCAGTGTATCGTCAGTATAGAGTATTCAGTGTATCGTCATTTTAAAGTAATCAGTGTATCGTCAGTATAAAGTACTCAGTGTATCGTCAGTATAGAGTAAGCAGTGTATCGTCAGTATAGAGTATTCAGTGTATCGTCATTATAAAGTAATCAGTGTATCGTCAGTATAAAGTACTCAGTTTCTTGTCAGTATAGATTAATCAGTGTATCGTCAGTATAAAGTAATCAGTTTCTTGTCAGTATAGAGTAATCAGTGTATCGTCAGTATAGAGTAATCAGTGTATCGTCAAGAGTATTCAGTGTATCGTCAGTATAGAGTACAGAAGATTTCTGCCCACTTAAAAATCGTCTCTTATCCAATGTCTTTTGAAGGTATTTCCGTATTTTTTCATCTGGCGTGTGCCACCAGCTTGAAGCTGTAAAACAGTTACCTGAACAAAGGCCAGTTCTTGACTACCACCTTGAACAGATTTGCGCTGATTCCTGCAACCTGTAGACTCCCCGTGCCAGCCTTCCAGGTAAGAACATCTGTACATCTGCATGTCTTAAAATTTCTAATCTAGACCCAAGAAAGGTTATTATTACCAAAACAAAACTGAAGTCGCTGTTATGACCTATTGACAATTCAATAATCAACAACACCTGGAATATTCAAGATATTGATATTACCTGTACATCAAAACGGATGAGCACACCGAAACCAACAAGATGATGGGGGGGCAGTGCTAGTGGAAGAATGCACGACATGCCGTGTTTTACTAGTTTCAAATCGTAGTAGCAAAATATCATCTGTAGCGGCGACTCCACCCCTCTAGCCCCCGCTACCAGCTTATCATGTTACAGATTGTTGACTGTTCAATATAAAATGTGGCCTGTATCTATCACACCATAAAACGATTATAGACTTATAAAAAGATACCGAACCCGTACCACGTCCTATTAAACTCTTAATCGGTTAACACTCTTTTTCATGGACCCGAAAAAAAGATATTGACCTGATACCACGTCCTGAAATTGCTTTTCTCAGGTAATTAAAACAGTTATTGACCCTCTGAAACTCTATAATTGTATAACAGCAATTACTACAAGTCGATTGGTTGCTGCATAGTACTGTAATACTTTAGTTTAATGCACACGGTGAAATTACCCCTGGGGCGTAACTGAGAGGAGGAACAGGTATATTTAACACTTTAACTGTCACGTGGAGCAAGCTGGATCTCATATACTGGTAGTACTGATGCTGTGGCCCCATGATACAGACCCAGCACCACGAATCAATCAATCAATATTATCGTAACCAATAGCGAGGACGCGGCAAGAATGGTGCCATGGTACACGGCACAAGTTGTCCAAGTATTGAACCTTGAAGGCGTTTCTGAGTTTCAGCATCAGTGTAATTTTAGCACAAACTCCTTGTCTACAGGTCTCAACAGTTGTGTTGGAGTGTGTTCTATTATATGAAACAATTATTTTGTTCAACAAGGCAAAACAACAGCAACTAATAGCCATGCCAATGTACTGGATCATTTTTATGTCGTAAACTTCTTAACCAAAATGGGATTGGAACAAATAACTGTTACCATCTTTCTGGCTGTGACTTGGTTGAAAGGAACCCTTTCAATTTCGACAGGTTCGTTTGTAAAAGTTAATGCGTGTTTCGATCCGACAACAACGACTGCCGTTGCCCTCACTTCACCAGATCTACACAGAAGTATCAGGATATTCTGTGCATCAAAATGTCTCCAGGCTGAAGGATGTAAATCCTACAGTGTCCACCTGTCCACACAGACATGCTACATCAATGATGTGTTTCTTCAGGACACCGAGTGCACGGATTCTTACCTTCATTTCAATTCTGACGAGGTAAGAAACTACACATACTTCTTAGGGGCGGATCCAGGATTTTGGAGGTGTGTGTGCGTGCGTGCGTGCGTGCGTGCGTGTGATAAGGTAAAAAGCCTCTGTCGACAACAATATTAGAACCTTGACACCCACAGTAGGTTGGTAGTAATTGTAATTCTCGTCAGTTTCTTGTTGTGTCATACATAAGGAAATGACATGTATGTTGTTTGAAAATGGTCTTGACCACCAACGTGAAGCATATATGATAATAAAACACAATAATTACATGCAGTTAGTCACGATCGTAACGATCGGATCTGACGTTCAAGTTAATGTCATGCACATTTCATCGTCTGTATTGTTAACTACACGATAGAAATATGCTATACCTATTTGCATGATAATGTACACATTACTTCCATAGTGAGATTAAATTCAACAGGTGTTAAATTTTTACTTATATGCAAAGTGTAAAGGTTTCCAGCCTCTGGTTAGTTTAGCCCCTGATTAAATTCAGATGTATTTTATGGAACGATGGGCGGCTTTCACAACAGTTCTCAGTTGGTGATACACTCCTCAAGAAATAGAAACGCATGGGAGATAATACGAATGTTAGTTTTTGATTATTTTTAAAATGTCATGAAAGGAAAAGAAAGGCAGAATGTATACTAACGGAAAAAGTAACTGTGCATAACATAAAATTGCAAACACAACCCTAAATAAACATGTAGAAAAGCACTTTGAAATTTGATGTCACGTATCGCGCGTGGCACGAGCACTTCGTGCACAATTCTCTTCCCACAAATAGGAAGAACGGTTACTCCTGTCATATCTTCCCCATACGTAACCTCTGTTCTAATACGTAACCTCTGCCATATTTCCCGGTTCTCGTAAAATCCCCTAGCGGCAAAAGATCGCAACACAAATTATCTCCCTTCTTTCTATCCAATCAGAACACCTGTTACATCGACTTAGATTCAACTTGACTAACACAAGCAAATGTGGGGCCACAAATATCCCCCATCTGCCGGGGACTTGTGTTGATGTTACACACAAGACGTTTAATGGCTAGCTTGTCCGTTGTCAACGAGGGCGATGGAGACGCCACTGATCCGCCATAACATAACTGAGTTCTGTCTAGAAGAAACGTTTGCGCATCGCGCAGGGGAAGAAGTTTAGTTTTCTCGAAGCATACGGAAATTACCGAGGCCTTGCGAATGATCACTTTTGAAACAACGTTGCTGATTGCACAACTAAATCTGATTGTCTCCAATCACGAGTCTTGAACGCTCACACCATGAAAGGGCCGTATTAGAACAGAGGTTACGTAGGAAGATAGATATGACAGGAGTAACCTCTGTGGGAAGAGAAAGCGTGTACAGTATTTAAATGGGCTATAAATCGCCAATAACTGAAGGTAGATCACCATACCAGGGACCATGGGGACTTACATTACTTTTGCTACCTGCATGGACCCTAGTTGGATTTACACCATCCCTTCAGCCATTGGCGACAAAAAAGAAATCTAGCCATAAATTAAAAGCACACATATTCTACGATTAAAAACGTGGCAAACGTGTTGGGACTTACGTACCCTCTCAGGAGGACAATAATTTTATAATACTTCAACCCCCTTTGAGGGTACAGCCACTAACAATCGAAGTTGATAATCTAAACTACCAATTATAAAACCATATCTATTTACAAAACATATATCAAAATGCATTTAACAGACCTATCTCTTTTAAAAAATCAATGATTAAATGATAATTAACGTTACTAAAAAGGTCCTTTACTGTTTTGACATTAAAATATCTATCCCTTATGGTGGAGAATTCAACACAGTCAAGCAGGACATGCTTGACCGTGGTTCTCTCATCACAAGGGATACAAAACGGAGGATCCTCACCTTTCAATAGGTACTCATGAGTATATCTTGTGTGGCCAATAACGACATCGTCAAATCTGGACTGACAACCCAAGTAGGTGTAACCGATAGTTGGTTTTATTGCATGTGATTTATTGATACCTACTTGGGCATCCCACTTTTTTTGCATCAGGTCACGGATCTAAGTTCTAATGCTAGCTCTGTAATCAGAGTATGGGATCAGAAGTGGTGACACAGATTTGTTGAGTGCTGCCTTGGCAGCAAAATCAGCCATCGTATTCCCAGAAATGCCAACGTGGCTGGGTAACCAACAGAGAACGATGTCGTATTGGCCAGTTGCAAGATCATTATATAATTCTATAATTTCTATAAAAACTGGATGTTTACAAGACATATTTTTAATCGCCTGAAGGCAAGAAAGAGAGTCTGAAAATATGATATATTGTTTATATTTAGGGTGTCTATTTATATATTTAAGAGCTGTTAGTATTGCGTTTGCTTCTGCTGTGAAAATTGAACTGTCATTGGGTAATCTGGAAGATATTGTTTTGGACGCAATGACAGTGGCACAAGCAACCGCGCCACCATCCTTGGACCCATCTGTAAATAAGGATTTATATGTATTATATTTACTTTTTAATTGAATATATTCTTGTTTATATAGTAAGTCATTAGTTTCTGATTTTTAAAATTTAGTGAGTGTTAGGTCGACTTGTGGCCTAACCAATTGCCAAGGAGGAGAAGAAAGAAGACGGGAAGGAGATATATTTTCCAGCTCAATGCCGGCAGCAGTAATGAATGGCTTAATCCTGAGCCCAAGAGGCGGAACAAGAGAAGATTTCTTGTTGTACAAATCCTCATAAAGAGGATTAAAGATGCAGTGAAATGCAGGATTAGACTCGTTAGAATATAGTTTGGTAATATATTGTAATGATAGTTTTTGTACGGCGTTTGGTAAGAGATGGTTCATCTGCCTCGACGTAGAGACTGTCAACAGGAGATGTTCTGAATGACCCAAGACAAAGTCTCAGACCTTGGTGATGGACAGAATCTAATAGTTTTAGGTTGCTTTTACAGGCTCCACCATATACGATGGAGCCATAATCAAGCTTCGAGCGGACCAGTGATCTATATAGGTGTAGGAGGGTAGTTTGGTCCCCTACCCACTTTGAATTAGAAACGACTTTCAATAAATCAGGCATTTAGTTTTAAGGGATTTAATATGCGGAAGAAAGGTTAAATGGGAGTCGAAAATCAGACCCAAGAACTTGGCCTCTTTTACCACCTTGATGGGAGTGCCATTTAAAAACAGTTCTGGGCTTTATGTGGTTTATATTTACGGCAGAAATGTATGCAATTAGTTTTTGATTTAGAAAATTTAAAGCCGTTTTCAAGACACCATTTATTTATTTTGTTTAAACACAACTGTAGTTGCCGTTCAATAGGATGCATATTCTTACCGCGACAAGAAATGTTAAAATCATCCACAAAAAGTGATCCATCAACTGAATCGTTTACAACCTTTGATAAACTGTTAATCTTAATACTAAACAATGTTACACACAAAATACTGCCTTGTGGGGGCACCCTGATCCTGATTATAATGGTCAGACAGGGTTGAACCCACTCGGACTTGAAATTGCCTGTCTGTTAGAAACTGTGATATAAAAAGAGGTAAACGACCCCTTAAACCAAAATCATGTAAATCCTTTTAAATGCCATGCTTCCAGGTGGTATCGTATGCTTTCTCGAGATCAAAGAATATCGATACTGCATGTTGTTTATTTACTATTGCATTTTTGACAAAGGATTCTAAACGTACCAAATGATCAATGGTACTACGATTTTTCCTGAAACCACATTGAATATTTGTTATGAGATTATTGGTTTCAAGATACCAATCTGTTAATCTATTATTTACTTTTCGTTCCATGGTTTTACAGACGCAACTCGTTAAAGACACTGGTCTGTAATTAGACGGATCAGCATGATCCCGGCCAGGCTTTGGTATAGGGACTACTATGGCTTTACGCCACGAAGTTTGGAAATTCCCTGAAGTCCATATTGTATCAACAATATTTAGAAGTGTTTCCAAACATGATTCGGGTAAATGTTTCAAGAGCTGATAGTGTATATTATCAGCCCCTGTTGCTGTATCATGAGCTTGCTCAAGGGCAGTACGTAACTCATGCATTGAAAATAATTCATTGTAGTCTTCTCCATTGTCTCAGGTAAAATTTATTCTTTTCTTCTCCTGTTGTTTCTGATGTTTCTGAAACTCAGGGACATAATTGGATGCAGACAAATGTTTGGCGAGAGTTAACAAATTATCACCATCCTTCAGATGATGAACAGTAGATTTGGAACCTTTACCTTTTATCCTTTGTAACATATTCCACACCTTTGAAATCGGCGTCCGTGAGTTTATCTTGGAAACATAATTTCGCCAAGACTGACGCTTATTCTGTTTAAAAGCACGTCGAGCCTTAGCACTAGTGATTTTAACATTATTTAAATTGTGAACTGTAGGATGCCGGCGAAAGTATTTCTCTGCCTTCTTCCTACACTTCCTGGCCTGTTTGCAATCATCAGTAAACCATGGTTTACAAATGTGTGGTGTCGCAGAGGACGTAGGAATAGCTTCATCAGCTATTATATTTAGCTTGTCCGAGAACAACTGAATAGGATCCATAACATTGACAAAACAGTCAGATTTCAATCGATCAGAACAAAGAGTGTGAAATAAAGGCCAGTTGGCCTTTTTAAAATTCCGCCTTGTTGTAGGAGGCTCATCATTAGGGTTTATAGCTGAAAGTATTGTGGGAAAATGGCCACTTCCACACAGGTCGTCGTGGACCGACCATTCAAATTCGTTATAACTGTTTGGATCTGTTAGTGACAGATCAAGTGCAGAATATGTTCCTGTACCAGGATGCAAATATGTGGCTGATCCATCATTAAATATGCATATATTATTATTTGAAATGAAATCCTCAAGGAGTTTACATTTAGTGTTAGTTGCGGAACTCCCTCCCAGAGGGTTATGTCCATTAAGATCACCCATGATGATACAGGGTTTCGGGAGCTGGTCAAATAGATCCTGAAGATCGGACTGCTGAAGAACTGAAGAAGGAGAAATATACATAGAGCAAAGTGTAAAGGTTATCTGTAAAGTAAGATGGACAGCAACAGCCTGAAGATTGGTTTTAAGAGGAACCGGCTATGGATAACACCCTGCCTCACGAGAATAGAAGCACCAGCAGTGGCCTGAATGAAACGAATTGTACCGACGCAATTCAAATCGATCTGTACTTTTCAGGTATGTCTCTTGTAGACTAAAAGCTGATGGTGTAAGATCTTGCGAAAATAATTGTAGATCCTTAAAATTGTTCCTAAGGCCTCTGCAATTCCATTGTATTAATGTCATAAACATGTTTAGGGAGGCTCAACTGGAGATCGTGAGCGCGAGGCAGCGCCACTCCTACACCCTGTTTGTGAAGGATTCTGAACCGCAACAGGAGGAGTTATAGGAGAATGCTCTTCTAAATGTTGAAGAGCTCTGGCCTTTCTTCTCAACTTTTTCTTTTCTTTGCTTGCAAGGTGAGCAGCACTCTGAGTAGCTGGACTGGAAGTAATGTCCAAAGTTTGTGATTGTTGGGTCTCCTTAGTCTGGGAGGCTGATGAGCGCTGACGATCTTGTGATCAGTGAGTCGTGCCGTCAAAGGTTAGCTGGGCGTCATTAATCCAGGATATCACTGTCGGACAAGAAGTTAAAACAGTTGAAGCTTTTTTAACAGAAGAAGAAGCAGGAGATGAAACTGTAGCAGAGTATGTGAGACCTGTAGCTGGTTTTGATTGAGCTATTACCATTTTTTTGGCTTCAAAGTATGAGATATTGTTAGTACATTTCAATTTCAGGATTTGGTCTCATACTCAAATTTTGGACAAGCTTTCGATGATGCCAGATGTTCACCACCGCCGTTGGCACACTTTATGTCATTAGTACAGTCAGTACTGCCATGAGCTCCACTGCAGCGTGAGCATACTGACTTGCCAGTGCAAGACCTCGCACCATATCCAAACTTCTGGCAGTTGTAACACCGGAGTGGATTTGGTACATATACCTCCACTCCGATATTACAGTATCCTGCTTTTATTAATTTGGGAAGAGAACGCAAACTAAACGTGAAAAGGTAAGTATTTGTTTCGATAAAAGTTGACTCTTGTTTCCTGCTAAAACGTATAACTGAAGTAACTCCCTGGTCTTTCAACTCTGCCACAATCTCTTCTTCTGTCATATCTGAGAGACAGCGGGCCCTGTCTCTAATGATACCTCTACACGTGTTGAGAGTTTTGTGAACTGAAACAACAACCTGATTGTTTACAAACTGCTGCAGTCTTAGCAGATTGACAGACTGTTGCCTTCGTAAGCGTTCAATTAAAAGGGAGTCGTTCCGGAGACGAGTGACATTTTTTGACTTCTCCGCAGATACCTTGGATACCCTTGGAGACTGCAAAAGGATTGATCTTTAAAGGAATCCCATCAGCACTTTCAATGACCAAAAACCTTGGCCAGGAATCATTATTGAAAGAAGATATCTCTTCATCAGATGAAGAGACATGTGACGACGTTTGCTCGTTTTAGAAGAACCAGAAGATTGAGCGTTGTTAGTCATAGTGTAATGATATAATTCAACAACCCTGCTCCCCACCCGCCATCGAGTGTCAACAAGGTCGGTATTGCAGAGGAAACCAGTCTGCAACACCAGGGTTACAGGGATGCCATACTCCAGAGAATACAGACTTGAAAAGCCATTATATCTTAAAGAAGATGTGCCAGGCTGGTTCGGCCCATGACACTTTTCTATAGAACACAGAATTCAGAGGTCTATATATCCAGATTGGCCCATGAGCCACCGCCCTCTGGAAAAAAGGGCTGTAGGCAAATATTATACTGATAATAGAATAAACACAATATTCAGTGCCAACATACAATATAAGCAAAATAATGTCAACATGAACATGTCCATGCTCAGGGCATGGCGTGAACAGCCATTGATAGAACCGGGCCATCTCTACCACCCGTCTAGGTGAAGTAAGGGTCGAAGTGGTGTGTTGGGCAAAATGAACACGGTTCCAGGCTCCATATGCCCTCAACCACCAGAATCCCGTCCTCCACCGACACAGGGGCGCAACCCACGACAAACGGGTTGGTGGACCAAATATACCCCCGGGTCCACAACGGGGGGGTCGAAGAGCGCTTAGCGTTACCCTGCACCCACCACGAGGAGGTGGCTCTTCACGGGTACCTACACCAGAAATGGGCTTCACACATTGTACCCATGTGGGGAATCGAACCCGGGTCTTTAGCGTGACGAGCGAACGCTTTAACCACTGGGCTACCTCACCGCCCCTCATTTCAGAGACTAGATCTTAGTCTAATTATTCTCTAGGCTCTGAATGTTTTGTAAAACAGGTTAAGTTCAACCTAAACTGCGCGTACGTCATCAGCAGACAGGATTGGGTTGGTATTTTGTTCACTGGCGAGTCTCAGATGGCAGGGCGGGAAGGCGAGGTGAACGGTATGCTGGCGCGTGCGTTGTTCAACGTCGACAGGTGGTGGCTTCATCGTTATGGTAGGGAGAAGTACCTCATCTCATGATCGGACACAACTTGTCATTGTCAACGGCAATCTGACAGGTCTGCGATAGAGGGGTGAGTTCATTGGGCCCCATGTGCAGCAGGTCATTGAAGGACAGAGAGACGTAACTTCACGCTTCAGCAAGATAATGCCCATTCACATGTCGCTCGTGTTGTGGCAGATTTCCTAAGACAGTAGAACATTCCGGTACTCACTTGGCCAGCTGTTTCTCCGGGCCTGTCCCCTAGCGAGCACGCTTGGCATAAATGGAGAGACGTTTACGTCAGAAGTGGAACACTTTTTATGGATAGACAACTTCTTTGTTGCAGTAGTAGTTGCGACGTTTCGGTTTAGTTCCTAACACTGTTATCAAACAAATGATGACACGCTGAAGGAAGTTTACGTCAGAATCATCTATTGACGTTAGCTGAATTGGGACAAGCAATGGTTCTGGCATGGAACAATATTCCCCTAACTTTCTTCAAACGCTTAGTGTCGTCTATGCCTCATCGTTGTCAAGCCTGCATCAACTTTAATGGTGGATACACACGATACTGAATTTGTGAACTGACTTTTGACACATCTCGCGTGTCACGATGACTAGTATCAAAGCATACAGATGTCGATATTACCCTGTCAACATTTAAACAGTGATTGTGTAGTATACATGCACGTTGTGACAATCATGTGCACAGTGATAATAGCTATAAACGATCCACGGCAGAGAATCTGTAGACATATAAAGTCTGTGTCCACAATGTTTAGAGCAGTGGTAACAACACATGGTGGTCACACCGGGTACTGATCGGAACGTTCCCCCTCGAGGACGTGCGTGTCTTAAGACGGCCAGTATAGCCAGTATAACTACAGAACATGTGACTGTCAGCATGCACGGTTTCATCCTGGTATCAACAAAGTAAACGATATATGCACATTTAACTGGCACACCTTCTAAGTTAGCCCATGCGGTTCTAATTGGAGAAAGTGCTCGTGAAGATCCGGGTTAGAATTGGTCTTCAGTAGCCCATGCTTGTTGTAAGAAGCGACTAACGGGATCGGGTGGTCAGACTTGCTGACTTGGTTGACACATACCATTGTAGCTCAATGCTCGATGCTCATGATGTTGATCACTGGATTGCCTAGTCCAGACAGGATTATTCACATTATATAGCTGGAATATTGCTGAGTGTGGCGTTAAACAACAAACAAAACACATAATAATTTATACTGTTGTATTTTCTCCAGAGCCTGGAGGAGCCGCCATGTCTCAATGACGGTGTGTACGACACAGTTTCCAACTCTTGTCGATGTTACAACAGCTACGTGGGCGACAGGTGTGAACGTCTGATGCAAGGTAACTTTACTTGCTATTAAATGCGAACTTTAAACATTGGTGTATTTCTTGTGTAATTGGTGGTGCTGATGAAACGGTGTTTAACGTAGTTACCCCACACACGGTCTGCGTCGAGAGTCCAAGCAAACCAGCTATAGTTTTAGTCTGTCGCCAGGGTAACAACAAGCTGTTGTGATGGAGAGGAACAGTAGGATTGGCATCTTCTTCTTCTTTTCGTTTCCACATGTCGGTGTCGATGTTCACACCGTTAAGGGCCGTTCATAATTTATGGCCAGTGGGGGTGATGATGATACTCTGTCAGGGGTGGAAATAACTTTAAAATTGCTAGTGTACTCCGGTACAGTGGCACATGTAAAATCACTTGCCCTGATATATTTTCCACTAAAAAAGGCCGATTTTCTTCTTGATTTTTTAAATAAACAACATAATTAACATTGGAAAGTCAACTGGACACCGGTACAGCATGATATTTTGCTTGCCCGACAGAAAAAAAACACAGGACTGGGACGTCGGGCAATGGGTTATTTCCACCCCTGTCTCTCTCTGTGTGTGTGTGTGTGTGTGTGTGTGTGTGTGTGTGTGTGTGTGTGTGTGTGTGTGTGTGTGTGTGTGTGTCCATAACAATATTATAAAATTATGCTTACAAAATATGGGAAGTGGGAGGGGGGTCATTGATTAAGTGAGGGGGGTGGTCACTTACTTTGTACATAATTTCCGGGGGGTCTGTCACATTGTACATGCTTCTCCATAAAAATCATCACCCCCCTAGCCATGAATTATGAACGGTCCCTTATCATTACTTGCTTGATGACGATCTGTTGCTAAACAGAAGTTGTCAATCCATAAACACATGTTCCTCTGCAACACGTAACGTCTTAAAACGTTTGTTGGTTTGTCGCGCCCGGAGACTGAACCAAGACATTCTACTCTCCAGTCAGATGCACTATCCACTCCATCACGACGTTGTTAAGTAGTAGTAGTAGTAGTAGTAGTAGTAGTAGTAGTAGTAATAATAGTAGTAGTTGCAGTAGTAGTAGTAGTAGTAATAGTAGTAGTAGTAGTAGTGGTGGTGGTGATATATGTTTGAGTGAATAAAGGTGCCATTGTTGTTTAGTTATAGTAAAACATTAGTTCTTTTACCCCAACAGTATACCAAAAACACACCTTATACTGTTTTAGCCTTTCCCACATATTTTCATCGTATTTGATTTCATAGGCTTTGCATTCACGAGAAGGATATAATTAGAAATGAGATGCATATCAGCAGTGACTGGTTAAGCACTTGTAAATATTCCTGATAAACAGCACAAACTGAAACGTTCGTCTTACGCTAGACTGACGCTTAGTCTCTGAATATATACAATTGTGACAGAAAAAAACAAACCCATTTAAATTGAAAATTAGCTCCAGTGAGACCAGAGATCCTGAACCTGAGGAAATCTAGACTTGCTTCATTTAGGGTTTTAGCATTGCAGAGAGGGCTAGACTAGTATTACGCATATGTGTATACCTTTAGCCTGATGTTTGTGATCAAATAAGTACAAAAATCACTGTGGATTCAGGGGATGACAGATGCAGACAATGTGATGGACTCACGTCTTCAAAACCGAAATCGCCTTATCAGAATGAAGATCAGAGAATCAGACCCTACGATGCAAATTAACCTATCAGCACGAATCTTGGGTAAAACCTAACCATAGATCATACATACCGGGCGCGCCTAAGGGAGATAACTCCACCCAGCGAAATGTGGTGCCTTGCGCGATTTGGCAGTGTGATTTGGCAAGGCACCACATTTCGCTGTGTGGAGTTACAGTACAACCAGAAATTATTGAGAATTTAAGGTTGTAATTGTTGTTTTTTTCACTCATTACGTACGTATTAAATGTGAATATTAGCAGACCATAACTCCAAATTCAAAGACGGGTGAACAGTTAGTATTTTGTCAAGTCACCATGGGCAGCAATGCAGGCTTCAATGCGGCGGGGCATACTACTGATCAAAGAAGTTAGAAAGTCGTGGTCCATGCTGTCCTAATATCGGACCACCTCTTCTTTTATTTCAGCAATATTTGTCCGATTGTTCTTATTGACACTTTCCTTCATAAGTCCCCAAACATTTTCTATTGGATTTAGGTCAGGGCTATAGCTTGGCCAATCTAATAATGTCATATTTTGGGTCCGAAACCAGGCCTGTGAATGCTTTGAACGATGTTTTGGGTCGTTGCCCTGCTGGAAAATCAAAAACTTTCCATAGAACACGTGAGCAGATGGAAGTAAATGTCCCTCGAGAATATGTGTGTACCGCTCACTGTTCATATTCCCTTCAAATCCACAGAGGGGCGTTGCCCCTAACATAGATATGCCACCCCACACGTTAAATTTCGAACTGTACTTTGGGCGCTGCTACAAAGGTTTTTCAGTTTGTTTGGTCCAGAATTTCAGTGTATTAGGAAACAGCCACACAGAACTTTCATTTGAGAAAATCACATTGTCCCAGTTAAAATTTCTATGCTGTAAGCACCAGTTCAACCTTCGCTCCTTTTGTTCAGGTTTCATGATCGGTGATGGAATTCTTCGACTTTTCTGCCAACCCATTGCATGCAGCTCAGCACTAATTGTCTCCTTACAGACAGCCACAGTTCCTCTATCAATCATATCCAGCCTTACGTTTTTGAAACTCCTTCGTTTGTTTTTAAAAACAAGAATACCAAGCCGCCCCCTGTCACCGACAGTCAATTTCCTGGGCCTACCTGAGCCTCCCTGGTGCTCAATGCCATTATCCATTTGCAATATTTTTCAAAACACGATAAACAGTGGACAAAGGGATGCCTGTTCTACTTGAAATCACTTTAGCTGATCTGATGTCCTTGTTATAATACTCTAAAAGCAACTTCCTCTTCTCTAAATCATCCATACTGAGGATCACTGAAAATGTCAGCAAATAAACAAAGGGGGATAACTCTTCACAAACTAATGAAAAAGGATTAACGGAGTTGTCTCTCTTGAATGAAACCAAGCACTTGAGAGCTGGTCAAGGTTGTTTATACTAGAAATCCAATTAAACATATTCCTAAAATTCTCAATAATTTCTGGTCATACTATATCTCACTTAGGTGCGCCCGGTATGTATGATCTATGGTTAAGTTTAACCCAAAATTCGTGCTGATAGGTTTGCATCGTAGGGTCTGATTCTCTGATGTTCATTCCGAATACGGTTAACAGTTTCGATAAACTTGAAACTGACTTCCGGTAAGTTGGTACACTCTCTGGACGACTTCTGTGTATGTACTAAATGCGGGTTTTAATTGATCCTCAGTAACCCATGCTTGTCGTGAGAGACGATTAACAGGATCGGGTGTACTTATGGTGTTGACCACTGGATTGGCTGGTCCAGATTCGATTATTTCCTGACCGCCGCTATATATCTGAGTGCAGCATTAAACAACAAACAAACAAATATACCTGTGTAGTGCCCCTTGAGTGAGTGAGTGAGTGAGTATGGTGTTACGTCGCTTTTAGGAATATTCCAGCAATATAACGACGGGGGACACCAGAAATGGGTTTCACACATGGTACCCAAGTGGGGAATCGAACCCGGGTCATCTGTGTGACGAGCGGGTGCTTTAACCACTAGGTTACCCCCCACCGCCCCTAGTGGCCCTTGAAGAGAATAGACCAACATCATATCACAAAGCGTCCTTTACGATGCTGTTGTCGTAAGTACATTTTAAAGTGTGGGAGTCATGATCGTCATATCTCAAAGATCGATTTAAGGACCGGATCAATAAATAATGGTTCTTCTTAAGGGTAATACTACAGCCTGTCTTAATATCACCTGAAGATGAAAGGAGTCACGGGGTACACTGGAAAGTTACTCGGTATATATTTTGTTGCTAGGATAATAAACAACTCTTCGGCTCGTATTAATAATGTTTAATTTAGGCCACATTGTCAGTTTGTCCTTTGTTCTCGTTGTGCATGTGCGAAAATGGTGATCCCTAATATTACTTACTTTACTACTTTATAGCTTCTGCTGTGTCGTTTCACTGAAGTGTATTGTACTGGCATCAGTGTTCTGTGCAATTATCTCTGAGCTTCATTACTTATCGTTGATGACAAGGTCGTTAAAATCAAGAACTTGCTTACAATTTCCGTTGGTATTAATGTAGTACAATAGGAATGTCGGGAGTATAAGTAAGGTGGAGTTCTTTTCTGTTTTCTATTTAACAAGCATGTTCTGATGGTGAAAACATGAGTTGTTTAGAAAGTAGCATTGAACAATATTTGAGCTCTATCACGGCGTGGGGGTTATACTGGAAAATCAATTATTCATTAAATAAACCTCCTTACTTATTCGATTGGATCCCTTCAGGTTCCAAGCTTTCTGGAACCATGATTTTGAAGACAATCCTTGTGAGGTTGTAATTATTGTGCGTATTTCGGAACGACAGTTAACGATTGCCGTTGGCTGACTATGCCCATCTTTCTGAACTATATTGACGATTTGACAAAAACTGATAAATTCTTAAATGCTTCTAAAATAAGTTGTCAGGATGTTAATTATACTGACACGTTTTACTGTAAAATCAATCATATGTTTTTTCTAGTTTTGTTTGCATTTGAATGTATTTGTGATTTGACAACGCGAGTACAAAGATGTTTTTAATGGATATACACAAGTTGATAATCATCCGTAACTTTCCACCTAGCGATTTACATTGTTCATTCAGAGACCCTACCAGAGACAAGGGTAGCCTCGTGGTTAAAGAGACCGCTCGTCACACCGGAGATCCGGGTTCGATTCCCCACATGAGTACAATGTGTGAAGCCCATTTCTGGTGTCCCCCGTAATGTTTCTGGTGTCCCCCGTAATGATATTGCTGGAATATTGCTAAAAGCGGCGTAAAACCATACTCACTCACTCACTCACAAGGTCTTCTTGACAGTGGGTCATCTTCCACGGGGCCACTGTCATTGCTTTGTGAATTGTCCTTGCAT